AATAATAGACATGTTAGAAGTGATGATGATGGTATGTTAAATAAATCTGATTGGATTTTAGCTTTGAAAGTTAAATGATTTTTGACATCTTTTTATGAGACTACAAAGATTTTATCCGGCGCTTATTATCCCACAAACTGTATGGTGCTTGAACGCCTTTATATAATTGCAAGAACATTCCATAAATATAAAAATGATCCTGCTTTTAGTGAAATTTTAATTGCTATGGAATTAAAGTTTAGAAAATATTGGGAAGAACTGCCTATGTTATTTCCTTTAGCATGCGCAATGGACCCCCGATATAATATTTCGGGAACTAAATACGTAATTGATCAAATCAATAAAGTTTTAATACTTGATACACCTATCACCTATAAGAATTTAGAGCAAACATTATGTGGAATGTATGATTTATATGCGGAAAGAATGGGTGCAAATGTTAGTCGGGTACCATCAGCTGCACCTACTTCTTCTGCTGAAACTGAAGAAGATGCTGCGAAAATAATGAATTTATTTCAGGGTATTAATACATTTAGATATGATGCAACTGCAATGTGTTCATCTAGTGCCATGTCGTCTACATCTGCATCTCATCAAATATCGGGCGAAACTCAAAATGCGATGCTTGTCGAATTAATTGATTATTTCAATCATAATATGCCAACAGACAGAACAATTAAAAAAATTTTAGAAGAAGTAATTGAATTCTGGCGAAAGTATGAAAGACGTTGGCCAATTGTTTCTGCAATTGCAAAAGATCTATTGATACCTCCGGCTAGCACTGTTGTTTCGGAGTCTACTTTTAGTGCAGGTAAAAGGATTTTCACTGATATCAGGAGTCGACTAAAAGAAGATGTTTTGGAAGCGTTAATGTGTGTGAAGATTGGCAGGACGCTCATTTTCGACTACAAGATAAATACGCTGAAATTGCATGTCTTGATCTCACGGACACTTGTAAGCTTTTCAAAAACCTTGCAAAACAAACTCTAAAATAATAGAAGTCTTGAAATGGTAAAATGAGAAACTGTTAAAACAAAACTCACAGGGTATCTATGTAATTTTCTTTAATTGGAGGATGTCCATGTAGTATAATTTATTTCCTATAGTGATTTTTTGAAAAAATGTGTAGTTAAAAAAAATATATATATATTGAGTTTACATATAATATTATTTTGTAAAAAATATGTGGCTAAAAATAAGGAAAAAAAATGCATTTAATAAAACAATGAAGCACAAATGGGGGCTTAACTTAATGCAGTATTTTTGAATTGTTTATAATAAAATCTGATATTCTGTATTCAGGACATTTACAAAAATGTATAAATAATTAAATATTTGCAGAACATAGTCACCGCAGAAAAATAAGCACACATCGCACACAAATTCTGAAGAGAGAAACGTTACTTCGTAATTATTTATAACACAAAATATCGAGTACGCAATAGAAGTCTAGAAATTTTGGAAGGGTGCAACTGGAAAGAATTTAGAAATAATCAAAGAGGAGAAGTATATGTACCGAGTCAATAGTTGTGGAATCCTATTCCAGAACATGTTGTCCGAATTCAAATTGAAGTACAACTAATTTTCAAGATTGTGCTACTCATTCCTTGAAAGTCATAAATTCAGGCTTATTTAAAAAGATCTTCACACATTGAAAATAAAACATGCTGTCGAGATTCTGTCATACTCAACTAAATTGATGTCTAATATTACAAGATCGATCTTAAAATTTACAAAATATCCTACATTTGAATTCAGAGCCATTAGAGAAATCAAAAGGTTAAACTAGATATATCTAGCATACGACTTCTCTAACTTTTGTAGTTTTTGTCGTAACTAACTTTTTATATATTTAACGATGTGTTTAGTTTACTATTTTCAAGTTATTTTCAATTTTTTGTTTTGTAAAACACTGAAAACTTTAGTCTAATATTTCTGAAAATTTATTTTCAAAAATAAGGATTAACTTATAATATAAAACTCAAAACGCATTTTTGACATTTTAAATTTTTTCAATGAAGATTCTGAAAACACTCAAAATATGGAAATCAAGCGTTTAAATAAAAATTTGTTTAAATAAAATTCTAAATATTAAAAAATTTTAAACATAAAAAAAAGAACTTTATTATATAAAACTTAAAAATTTTAAAAATAGAATCAAACAAAATAAATTCAAAAATTAAAATTCTAGAAATTTCTAAAAACTATGTAAATAATAAACAAAAATAGTTCTAGCTCTTAATGATTATATATACAAAAAATTAAAATATATATATAAGTGAACATAAATAAAAATATTCCCCTTCCACATCATTAATTTTTATTTTTATTTCATATATTTTTAACTCAGTTTATTATCTATTTTTATTTTACTTTTCTGTGCGAGAAAAAATATTGTAAGATTCGTCAACTTTAAAATGTAATATTATATAATAATATATAAACAAAATTGTTCTATTTTTACTGAGTAATTGAATTTTATTGAATAAAATATCATAAAACAAATTTTCAAAATTTCCAGCGAACATGTTTTCTAATTTTCAGTTTTAAGAAATAATTTTTCAAAATAAACAAAACACATTTTTAGAAATCATAAAACAAGCTCTCAAACTGGAAAACTACAAATGAACTGAAAACTTAAATACAAATCAAATTGGTCCTAAATTTTTAATTTTTAATTTTCAGGTAGGTTTCAAGCTTTACTCATGGGGTTCAAGTGCAAGGAATATTGGTTTTAATTTTTCCTTCTTTTTTATTTCAAGTTTATTTATTAATTTTATGCATTTTGAATTATTGAAAGAGGAACAATTGTGACAATAAAAATGATAAATGGACATATTTTTAATAAAATATTCTTTTAAAGAAGTATTCAGTACCATACACGAACATCAATTCAGAGAGACATTACACACTAATTATTCAATAAAAACTAATAATCGAATTTACAATTCTTTGTATCAATTTAATTATTGATCAATTACATATGACATGTTAAGTATAATAGATTACAGAGTGTTAGACATTACTAAAAAATAGATAAAAACATGGGACACCGAGCATGCACATTGAAATAAGAAATTGATATTTTCCATATAATTTAGATAGCAACTTTAAAAATGGATAAATAATTATAAATATATAGAAATAGATGATGAATAACGAAAAAAGTGATTTAATCAATTATAAACATGTGCCAAACAAGGGCTAGTGATATCTAATATTGCGAAGCTCCTAGTCTTAAAAGTTACAAAATATCGTACAATTAAAATGAGAGCCATTACAAAAATCAAAAGGTTAAAGTACATCAATAAGAAAGTTTAAAAAAT